GAACTGGTGGACACTCGACGGCCGTCTCGTCCACGATATTGTCGGTATCGGCGCGAAGACGGAGACCGACTCTCGGGCCGATGGCTGGCCTCACGTCTGTTACCATAACAACGATCGCCGTTCGAAGCCATGCGACGGAAGTCTGTGTCCGCGCGTTCGTCCCTATCGTCAACTCTGCGGCCAATCGGCGATCGACTCCTGTATCTGACGGGCGGTCGACTGTCGGTCGTGCGGTCTCTCGACGACACGACGGCGGCGGCGGTCGACGACTGCTGAGGCGATCGACTCCTGTCGCGGCGATGGCGGCGGTCATCGCGAGGCACACCAGTGGCCAACTCGACGGTAACGAAGCGCCCGTCGACGCGAGCGTTGTTCATACGGCGGACGGCTTCGCGGGCGGCGTCTCTGTGAGCGTACATCACAAACGCGAATCCGGGAGGAGTTGTGGCCATCCAGACGTCCAGCACTCGACCGAATCGGCCGAAAACGTGGCGCAAGTCTTCGCGACCGGTATTGCGGTCCAAATTACCCACAAATACTTTGCACCCTTCGGGACACTCGTGTCGGAACCGATAGGACATCGCAAACGGTGTGTCTTTCAGTTGGTCTTCGGTGGTGTCGCCGATGTCTTCACCAATGATTGCAATCAACAAAAAAACAATGAATTAATTGATTAAAAACACGAGTTTTTCGACACAAAAAAACAGTACTGTCGAGGTATTATGTTTGCAAAGAGTGTTGACGTAATAACCACGGAAACGAAGGGGGTCTCGATATAGCATTGCTTAGCAATTTACAGCGAGTAAACAACTATATCGAGACCCCCTTTGTTTCCGTGGTTATTACGTCAACACTCTTTGCAAACATAATACCTCGACAGTACAAAAAATTTGAAAATTACTTTTTTGGTAACGAAATAAGTGTTCAATAATTATGTGATTTATTGCATATAATTTGAGATTATTTTTGAGCTGTTTTTGCACTAATTATTGATTGCTTTTTATGTGATTTCCATTTAATAGTGTTTTGTAATAAAATTAATAATAATTTTTAATTTATTAATTAAAACTAACTTTGATTTACAGGGGATGTGAGGATTAGGGGCTTTAGGGGGCGTTTAGGGGGTGATGTGATTATCACAACGTTTGTAATGAGTTAATTGGCTGTAATGTACAGTTAAACTCGTCTATTGTGGAGTCGTTGGGACGCGAATATTGTGTATTGAATTTGAGTGAATTGTGACA